GCAACGTTGGTTATCGGTCCGAACTGGAAACACGATGGAGTCGATGGATACTGTGTACTGATTCAATCACCGATGGTTCCCCCGCAGAGATGCCGTGTTGGATCTCAATTGAATCGCGCACGGTGCTGTTGTTCGTGTTCGTCCTGCTCCCCGCTTGCCGCGCTTTCTCCGTTGTATGAGCGTTGGGGTTTTGGGTCGGAGGGAGGGTTGTCTGCTCTGCCAAGGGGTGGTTCTCGACCATTCATGATTACCAGCCACCTACATTGGCGAGAAGTTAGGAAAAGTATGTAAGACTGTGGCCCCGCTTGCGTAAAGTTTGGCTTTACGTCCACAACTCTTATCTCCACCTGGGAAGCAGCACATGGTTACATGGCTGGAATATCTACTGCGCAGTCTGCTCGTCGAATACAAACACACCTGGGCGGTAAGATACTGCACATTCGATTTCGACGCTAAGGTAAACTCTCGGGTTGCTGTCCCGATCGAATGTTGTACTTTAGATCGCGTGCTCACATGCCTTTTGTTGCGGCAGCTGCAGGATAAGCTCTGCGCGGCGTCAGCGGCGCCAGGGTTGCTAACCTGTTCGAGCGACGCGCGGAGGCTTCGGACGCCTGAAGAAAGCATGGCAAAGCTTGAGGCTGGACGCAACTTCCCCTTCAATATCGACGAGGAACTTTGTGTTTGACAACCGCTGATTGCCGTTATTTCTTGCGAGCGGCAATAGAACTTAATCCCGTACGCCACAGCATTCCAGAAGGCGAAAGACGCGTAACCTTGGATAGAGTTGTAGCCCCAACGGCTGTCTTGCTCGGTACCCAGATATTCCCGGCGGAAATGTGCACCTGCTTTATGGAGTAACAGCCGCGTCGTGGGTCTCCAAATCCTACACCACAAGTATTGGGAAAAGCTTTCTTCCATTGTGAGTGGTCTGATGAGTGCGACAGGACAGCACCAAACCCGATGCGGGTTCGAGTGAGGGTGATCACAGGGTCTTTTGCAGTGAGTGCCACAACAGCCGTACCAGGGTTGCAAGCAAGCTCTAGCTCAAGTGAGAGCCGTTAAAGTTTGAGCGGTCCGCCTACGAAAGCTTATCTTCTACTCCAACGACACTCTTACTATCCTACCACGCTGGCAATCGTGACGCGACACCCTGCTTGATCGCATTCGTATTCTGGTCAAGCCCCACGCGACACTACAATGGCTTCCGCTGCGGAAACCCAACCAGGCCTGTACAATGCGACTGACGCTAAAGGCGACATCGAACGTAGAGGCAGTGTCGCAAAGACAGAGAAAGGAAGGTGGGAAAGATTGTGGCCTGTTATCGCATGCGGCGCAGGTCTTTTCAGCGATGGCTACCTCAATAATGTACGCAGAACTCGATCCAAGAAGCGACACCGAGACAATTCCCCATGCGACAACAACATTCCCCATCCCAAAGCGCCACCACAATATCCGACTCGAGATTTGTATTGCGAGGATGCAAATGCTGATATAGGAATTGTTAGATAATCGGTCCAGTCAATACGATGCTCAAGACAATCTACCCAGACTCGTATGCGAACTCGTCCGCTCAAGCAAACGTCTCGAGTATTACCTTTGCAGGTACGGTCGTCGGCATGCTCTTCTTCGGGTATACATCGGATCATTTTTCGAGGAAATGGTCGTTATTCACGTCAACCATTATCATCATCCTTTTCGCCATATTGGGTACGGCATCATATGGAGCTGGAGGTAGTCCAAGTGGACTGTTGACGGCGCTCGTTGTATACCGTTTCTTCCTCGGAATAGGTACGTAGTATTGCATTTGTTCCTTCTCAAACAACGTACTGACTTGCGACAGGTATCGGCGGAGAGTACCCAGCAGGTAGCGTCGGCTGCGCAGAATCCACCGGCGAACTCAAGCAAGGAACGCGAAACAAGTGGTTTATCCTCTTCACCAACGTGCAGATCGACCTAGCGTTCTTCATCAGCGCCATCGTCGCGACCGTCGTTGTTCTCGCTACAGGCGAAGACCATCTACGAGCCGCTTGGCGCATTTGCCTGGGCATCGGAATTATCCCCCCTCTTTCGCTGCTATACCTCCGATTGAAGCTTCAGGAGCCCGAGGCGTTCAAGCGAGAGTCGCTGGCCAAGGCGAAGACACCATGGCTGCTTATCATCAAGTACTACTGGTTCCGCCTCAGTATCGTCAGCATCATCTGGTTCATCTACGACTTCAGCGCGTACTCGTTTGGTATCTACGCCACGTCCATCTTGGCCAATCTGCTAGGAGAGTCGGCGCCGCTGTGGAAGAGTCTGGCATGGAACATCCTCATCAACTTCTTCTACATGCCTGGTTGCCTTGCTGGTGCTTTTGTCGCGGATCTACCTTCCATGGGGCCTAAGAAGACGCTGTTCATCGGTGTGACTTTACAGGGTATTATCGGGTTCATCATGGCTGGATGCTATCCTTGGCTGAACAAGCCTGAGAACGTCGCCGGGTTTGTCGTGGTGTATGGTGTTTTCCTTGCGCTGGGCGAGTTTGGACCGGGCGACAACATTGGTCTGGTTGCTTCCAAGACGTGCGCAACGGGTATACGGTATGTTACTTCATCGCATCCCTAAAGCTCCAGTTTCTAACTTCTAGACAGAGGACAGTACTACGGTATCGCAGCGGCTGTAGGCAAGATCGGTGCCTTTGCCGGCTCTTACGCTCTGGACGCACTTCAGAAAGCTGCAGGCGATGATGAAATTGCTGCGGGTCGTAATCCCTTCTTCGTGGCTTCCACTCTTGCCTTTGTGGCTGCTGGTCTGGTATTGCTGCTTCCTCATATCGGCCAGGACACAATCGATCAGGAGGATATACGGTTCAGGGAGTACCTGACAGCGAATGGATATGATACTAGCAGCATGGGCTTGAAGAGTACAGACGCAATAAGCACTGAGAGCGACGACAATGGCGTTGTGCCAGTTGAGCAAACATATGGGAAATAAAGTACCTAGGTAGGTTCGGCGTGAAGAGGAGACAGTCAATAACGACGACAGCTTTAGGCAGTAAGAAACTGTTTCCATACGAATGCATCTTCGCTACAAACCACCATCTCAAGATCACTACCGTCCTTTGCCAACAACCCGCATGCACACTCTAGAATAGGACAGCTCTACCTAGGTAGAGCCGCAAGTGTCAGCACGTGCTAGAACTACACGCTAGAAACCTTCCGGCCTAGCGCATTCTCACACTACCGAGGCTATCTGCAAAGCCGGAGAACCTGGAAACTATTACAACCCACGTCACTAGCAGCTCCCCACCATGCACGACAGACGACAGATATACCATATCCCAGCCCACTTGATCCTCCCTGTGCCGCCTTAAACTGGGCATCGCGCGTAATACCATTATACAACGGATACACAGATGAGGCCACCTCACGTGCAATTGGGCACATAAACCTAGGTACCTCGGATCACTGTTCAACCAAAGCAGGCTTAGACACCTAGGTAAAGACATACCGAGCCTCTTCGGCAATATGGAACTAGATGGCCTGAGAGTGGAACAAGCCGTGGTATCCCCACACGAAGGAAGAGACTGCGTCTTCATGTGGACCCTAGTAAGCCGGAATGCGTGTAGTTGAGCCCATCGTCCGGACACTCTGATTCGAAGGGGAAACAATACTAAAGACCAGCGAGAGACCTCTAATTGACTGACTGCAAAAGCAAACAGTGACCTAACATCCTCACCTCATACACACAGATCCGTCCTTCAAAACCTCGAATCCAGTCCACCCGTCATGTCTCCCGCAGCCGTAACCTCGACCCCTCCTCCCAGCACAAACCCCCACACCAACGGGAAATCATCTACCAAACCCGTCATCACCCCTTCTTCGACGGCCACCTCCCAAATCCCTGCATGGGTCCAACCCGACCTCACCCGTCTCCTCCGCGTTGAGCACAACCCAGGCTCCTTCACTTCGCGCTCCGTCTCCCTCGTCAACCTGCCCCCCGGCGCAGTCTTCGCGCGCATCACAAACCCCACACCAGCAACGGTAGCGTACTCGTCCGTCCAAGCCTCGCGCGACCTACACATCGAGCTGAACTGCGACCTCGTCTACATAAACCACAGCTGCAAGCCCAGCCTGGTATTTGACATGCAGCGCTGGGAAGTGAGGGTGTCTGAGCAGGGAGGGGGTCTTAAGGAGGGGGACGAGCTGACGTTCTTTTATCCGAGTACCGAGTGGAGTATGGCTCAGCCTTTTGAGTGCTTGTGTAAGACGGAGGCGTGTGCGGGGGAGATTAAGGGCGCGAGGGATATGGGGAGGGAGGTGTTGGGCAGGTATTGGTTGAATAAGCATATTGAGGAGATGCTTGCTGAGAGGGATGGGCAGTAGGGTGGTTGTTCATGGGAATGAGGGTTGAAACAAGAGGTGTAGGAGTAAGGTGCGGGGGCGTCAAGTGGAAAATGGGTGTTGGAGGTAGAGTTTGAACTAGTCAGCATGAGCAAGGAAATAAGAACATGAGTACTATGATCATGGCCATGAGATCTTCACACCCTCAGTACCCGTCTAACATTCTCCTGAGTAACCTCCGTGAACCCCAGTCCGAAAACTTTCCTATCTGGTATGTGCCCCTGCCAGGCCTTCCCTCCCCCCTTCCTAGCCTTAACATGATAGATTACTCCCCCAGTTTCAGTCATTAGTGCCTCAAAACCGATAGTATTTTCGCACTCCTTACTGCTACCATAGCTGCCAGGCGCGAGATATGTTATCAGCACGTCTGGCCCCTGTGGCACATAAAGAAACGGATGAGAAGAGAATTGATCTGCGAGGTGGGATAACACTGCTTTGGCGGTGGAGAATGCGGTACAGAGACAGAGGGTGCGGAGGGTGTCATGTGACACTCTGTTCAAAGTGACGACCCAGACTGTAGGTGGGAGAAGGCTGAAAATTTCTTGCTTGGTGGTAGAAGAGATGGGGTCTTCGAGGTAGGAGCGTGGCCATGAATCTACTGCCGTTGTATCTGCGTTCTTATCTTTTGGTTTGTCTCTGGTCGCTTTCCGCTCCAACGGATTCATCGACATTGACTTCCTGTCCAGTGATACCTTGGGTTCATCGTCTTCCCTTTGCCGCTCTGTGGTCAAGGTGGATACGAGCGACAGCCATTCAAGATCTTCCTCTAAGCGTTGGATGCGGTCATCTTCCTGAGAACGGGGAGGCATGACTGAGATGTGTAACCAGGATATCGGGTTTGTAGATGGCGGTGCTGGTAGGACAGGCGGGTCGTCCGGGTTCTGGCGATAAAAGTGGATGTGGATGAGGGAGCGGAATATGACTTGAAACTGTGGCTGGGTGACTGAGGGCGAATTGCGAAGACTATCCCAACACCAGAGGTGATCTTATGCTTGCATGTCGCCCAGATGACCAGCTAAGCAAGTACAGCAGACTCCGCAACCGCCTGATTGATAACAGGACGTCACAAAATCATCTGTAAGCACTCTCCGGATGCGGCAAATCGACCTATCCCTTCATTAGCCTCACCATCTCAACCTGCCCCTCCCACCACATCAACATACCTCACTATACCTCCCCTGATAAGCCGTCGGCCTCCGATCATCCATCTCCACACTCCACACCTCGCCCTCATCCTCATCCTCCAACTTGCGATACCGCCCCTTCCTGCCCGGCAGAAAATTCAAACTCTTCTCCGCGTCCATCTTGGCCGCTCTCTTCTTCCGATCGCGCTTGTTCTTGCAGATGACGAGCGTGATGATGAGACAGAACATGCCGACGGTAGCGAGGACGGAGAGGATGATGACGACGATGAAACCGCGTTTTTCGCCCGGGTTCTGGAAGATGGAGGAGTTGGTGTCTCGGGTGTGGAGAGGGGTGGGAGACATGGTGGGTGTGGCGTGGCGTGGTTGTTGTGAGGATAGCTGGGTAGGATGGGATGGGATGGGATGGGATTATGCGATTGCTGTGTTCCAAGGTTGTGATGTGATATGGTCGCTACGAAAAGAAGGAACTGGAATACTAGATCCACGATAGAAGAAGTCGCAATCCACCATATAAACACCCATCACCTCGCCGAAAGCACCGCCTACACAGCCGCCTCCTCCCTCCACCGCCTTGGTGGCCTCACCCTCTTCATGATCCCCCACCAGGATGGCACTCCTCCCACGCTCCACCCGCACAGCCTTAAAATAGCGACGTGCGAATTATCTCCTCACTCTCCTGCCAATCGCAATAGTTCAAGGGTACGCATCGTTCAGGCGTGACGTGGCCGAGTGCGTGCTGCGTTTCCGGCGTAAATTGGAATGTGCAAATGAGCGACCGAATTGTTGATAATTTCGTTGTCCACTCATCGTTTGTGTGAGTTGTGCGGCACAGCCGCGTGCCGGGGCAATGAATCGTAGGGTTATAGGGGGCCTTGAACGCTCAGATCGTCGTGCGTGAGACGAGACGAGATGAGATGTGGGGGGCCTGGAGTCATTGTCAGCCTCGCTGAATCAGTGGCCATTTTGTATGCTGGAAGTTTGACGACTACATAATGGAAGCTGGTAACGCTTACATCCTGTCTGAATGGTCTCCAACAGAAGAGATTGAACGCGATGGATGGACAAATGATTTGATAATGGTTTGCACCGAATTCTATGTACTAAACGGAATAACCATGATCAACGCCAGGAAATGCACAAGACCATGCTATGTACGACAACAAAATAATTTTCATAAACCCCCTTCCCACCCAAACACCCTCATTACACGTATGCTCAATGAAAAAAGGCAGGCCGAAGCCCCGACACAACATCCACCTCCTCTCACCCCCATCTACATCCTCTTATAATTCTCCGCCAACCCCTCAAACTGGTCCAGCCCCTCAACCCCATTACCAGGACAACTCCAATCGCGCTCATACGCCTTATCGGGCAGAATCCCCGCCTCGCGCCCACGCCTATAACTCCACTGCGTACTGCTTTCCGTCTCCCACGTCCAGTAAAACCAGCCCCAGCCAGCTTCAAATGCATCCATCTGGCCAATCGCAAACTGGTACAGCCACTTCTTGTACTGATCGCTGTAATTTTTCGGGTCGGCATTGGCCTGGTCGCAGGAGCACTGCGACGATTCCAGCGGACACTGCGGCTTGAGGACAGCACCGGATTTACCGTCTTGGGCCTGTAGAGTGCCTTCCCAGCGTGTGCCTGTGTTGACGTTGTTGATGTATTGCGTGCAATCTGTGTCTGCCTGGGACCATTCTCCGCACATGGTGGGACCGAAACCGGTTTTCTTGTCCATGGAGCGCTTGCTTTGTTGGGTCCAGGCTTCGCAGGCGAAGTTGAGCTTGTCGCGGTGCTCGAGCTTGATTTGGTCCGTGTTGAAGATGACGTACTGGTGGACGTCGAGGAGAAGGTTGTCGTTGCCTTGCAGCTTGCCTTGCCAGTTGTCGAGGCCCATGAAACCGTCACCGAAGACGATGATGCCTTCGATGCCGTCGGCGCGAATTTGGTCGATGGCCTTTTGTGTCCAGGCGACTACTTTTTCGGTGTCGAGTTCGACGTTGCGGGGTTCGTTGACGAGGCCGTACATGGTGACTACGTTCTTGTAGCGTTCTTGGGCGAAAAAGACGGAGAGCTTATGGTGGACGTCTAGTGTGCGTTGCCCGTTCTTGTCGCCGTCTGTGCCGTTTAGCCAGTTGATTTGGCCTTGACGACCAGAGTGGTTCCAGCCGTTTTGACTACCTGGCGCGCCGTGAAGATCAAGGTTGACGCGGAGCCCGTTTTGTCGACAGTACTCAATACCGCGGAGAAGGTAGCGCCATGCTACTTGCGGTACGTAAACGTCGTCGTCGTATGTCTGCACGATCCAGTAGCCGAATGGGAAGCGAACGTGATCCATACCAGCCTCCCTGATCTCCTGGAAAGTCTTCTTATTGATGAATGTAGAGTAGTGCTTCTCCATAGTGTCTTTCGCCTTTGCAGGTCCGAGCTTGCTCAGGAACGTCCATTCGTCGACTACGTTGTCTTTGGACCCATACTGAGAGAAATAAGAAGGCGTAATGAAAGGCTCGAGGTTGAGCCAGCCACCGACGTTCACACCACGAATAGGTGTCTTGCCGTACTCAAACGAGTCTGAGAGTTTAGGGACGGAAGGATTTGCTTGAACATCATCGTCCCAGGAGTCGTTGAGACCGATGACCGGTAGGCCTCCGACGAGTTTGTTGGTGTAGGTAACATTGAAGTCATCGGTATCGTACCATGCCCATGGGTCCAATATGCCACCTCGGTCCGCTTCTGGTACGCTGTTTCGGTCCTTCCCGGCCAGATTGTCGTTCTTTGGCCCCGATGAGGCAGCGGCGGATCCGCTCCCTGAGCTTTCGTCATCCTTGCCTCTGCTCGAGTGCAATGCAGCGACAGGTATGACGATAGCCAGGATGATCACGACGCAGACTATGGCGAATATTATGCGCTTCTTCTTCTTCTTTCGTGCTAGCTCCTCTTCTGTGTATACTGTCGGCGGGCCACTGCCTGCACCTCCGCGCTTCTCCATCATGAACCGATATTCAGAGTCGTCGTCGATGCCACCCTCTTCGGCCAAGGGTCCGCTGATAACGCGCCGCTTCTTCTGTTCTGTGCGGTGTTGCTTTTCTTGCCGTCTCCGTTCCCTCCGCTCGTCGGCCTCTGACGGGGTGTATTTCGATTCGTGTCTGCGTCGTCGTTCTTCCCGTTCATCATCCGTGTATGCGCCTCTTTTCCTCTCGAGCTCATCGTCAGTCTGACTTTGCTTCAACGCAGCAGCCTTCCGTTTCTCCTCTCGCCGTTTCCTAGCTTTCTCCTCAAGCAATGCGGCATCGCTCTCTGCAGCGCGTCGTCTGGCTTCCTCCTCTTGCTGCTCTTTTCTCTTCTCCGCTCGCTCATGCTTTATCCGGTCCTTCTCCAGGTCTTTCTCCTTCTTCCTGACCTCCTTCAGGTATTCATCGTCGTAGTCGTAGGCTCCCCAGCCTCCAGCCTTCTTCGCATTGGTCTTGTCAAGCTTCGCTAGTGCATCGAGACTCAAAGGAGCTGAGCCTCGACTTCCCCTTCCACTTCCGTCTGTTGTAGAATTGCGCCGCGATCTTTGAGCTTTACGTGGTGCTGGGGATTCTTGCTCTGTGTCGCTCTGGTGTCTCGATCGCCGGGGCGGCTTTGGCAGAAGGTCGCCTGAAGAGTCTGTCGCCCTGTGTCCCTTCCTCCGTCTTCCTTCTCGATCGTAGACTGCATCCTCACCGCGGGATTCTCTCCTCCGCCGCCGCTCAGGATCTACGTCGCCATGTGATTCTCTGCGCCGTCTTCGTTCGTCGCCCTGCGGTCGTCTTCGCGACGCATTGCGCTCGCGGTCGCTCATCGAAAAGATCGGGTGGTCGTGATAAGTATACGTGCTTCAAGCGAAAGCGCGGTGTAGAAACGTGGGGCTGGGATGCACTTCATAAGATAGCTGCAAAAGCACGCAAATAACAAAAATGCGTTCAGTCGTGTCTGCCACCACCCGGGCGCATGTGAATATCGGTAGCGAATATGTATAATCGGCGGCTGGGCACATGCACGAGGTTGGGCTTGCTGGGATGCCGTGTCGTTGCTGGGGTGATGAGGTGTTGATGGCCTGGCCTGACGTGGCCGAGCGCTGGGCGCCACAAGCCGCTTGGATGGCCATCTTGGAACTGCGACAAACTTGGACACAGGACGCGGAGTCGGTCCTGTGTGAAGGCTATTGATATTTGACAAGGCGGGTATCACAGACGACCAAGTTCTCAGCTCACACTTGGAGTACTTGGTAACGCAAAGCTGCGTATGCCTTGGTGGCTGTGTCACAAACACAAACAGAGTGCACAATACAACCTCTAGAGTACAATGGCATGTCACATACCACCCAGAACTTCCTTGAGAATGCCATCGCGTCATCACAGATTACCCAATCTCGACGAGACCGTTGAGTCCCTGCGCCCTGAGATCAACAACGGCAGGGAAGGAAGATGTGCCGCCAACTCGCTTCCGCAGATGACATCATAGCCCCTGTAATGATGAGCAAGCCTGCCCTTGGAGGCTTGGACCTCCACGCTCCGTTACTTGGTGCAATTCGTAAAGATTATCGTGCATTGTTGCATCTGCGTGTGGTATCATAGCTAGAAATATACAAAAACAATGCGCCAATGGTCATAGGGTTCGTCCCGACCCTTTACCCTTTTCAGCCAACCATGCCTGTGAAGGCCCACCCGTGCCTCTCTAATAAGCCGGTTTTGGGTGATCGTGACGATTTAATGAGAGTACCGCTCTACAACGCCAATTCAGTTTGCCACCCAGGGATGACGGACGTGCATTCCTTGCAGCATGCGGCGTGGCAGTCCTGTCGGAAGTGGTGGTACATGCAATTCTTGAAATGCGAAGGGCTCATAACAGTTTCGTGGGCAAGCTTATTCAAGAAGCCGAAACACTCTGTGAGGACCCAGTAGCCTCGGAAGATGCTGTCTCTTTCCCCTTGTCGGCTACTTTCTTCTCGTCGTCGCTGTAGAGGCCGTGTTCGTAGATGTAGTCGACGACCTTGTCGGGGATGTAGTAGCGGATGCTCTTACCCCGCTTGCGGAAGAGCCGGATCTTGGTGGACGAGACGTCGTTCTGGATGAGTTGCGGGATCACGCGGATGTTCTCCCTCCACTGCTGGAGCTGTACGAGCGCATCGTCTGTAGCATGTTAGTGGTTGTAGAACGTTATGTAAGGAGAAACGTACCAATATCAGTACCGCTGCGCTCAAGGATAAAGGCACCATAGTGACCCAAGATCCTACTCAGATCCTCGCGAGCCCAAAGACCGGGTGTGCTCATAGTCTGGATCAGGTCGGCGCCTGCGAGAAGCGCCACATGGATGCGTCGCTTCTCGCCATTCTCGCTCGCTATCCCTCCCATAACCTCGTTAAGCTCGTGGTCAAAGTGGTCGAGTACCTTGACGGTTGGGAGATACTCCTTGTGCAGCGGCTCCCACGGGTCAACGCCGATCCAAGTCGAGCTGTCCTGTACAGCGATCCTCGTCATGTTGATCCTGTGCTGTGCGGAGGCCAGTCCGGCTTTCTTGTATGCGTCGCCGACAGGGCTGAAGAAGCCGCCTACAACTTCGTAGTCGGTCTCGAACTCGCAGTAGTCGGCCGCCTCTTCAAACATGCGCAAGTGTAGATTGGTCGGCGGAGAGAAGGAACCACATGATACGAGCACGAGGGGCTGCTTCTTGTGGTTTGACAGCGTCTTCTTCAATCTCTCCTTGGGAAATGTGTAGTTGGCGAGCGACATAGCCTCGGTGTTAGGGAGCCCGGCGTCGAGCAGGATGTCGCGGTTATCCGTCGAGGACATGGTAGCGACGGCGATTTTGCGTGGAGCGATGCGCGGGCGGATAGCGATGGATGACTTCGGAGGGGTGAGCGGGCGGCTATGTAGTGATGGGTTGCGGAGGTGACGGCGGGGTGGGGTTGCGGTCGCAGCTGGGATGTGCGCGACAAAACTAAAGGACCAAGTCAATTGCCGGCGGAAGGGGAGCATTTATGAGTGAAAGGCTTACGAATACCGCGATAAACGGGGTCACCGGGAGACTACTACGAGACTAGGCGGTAGTGAGAAGTGAGTCGATAGGAGCCTGGTTATGACGCGGGGGCAGCGAGGCGATACCCGACGGACAGTGTTTTAGGCAGTGGGCGCGACAAAGCGGATGGTGAGACTGTGAAAGTGGACTGTGAGTGAGACGGATGTAGGGAAGCAGATGCACAGGGTGAGCCGGCCGTGGAAGAGGGGGACATGTTGTACCATGCCCTTTTACACTTTCAAGGTTGCTTCTAGGCGGCCGTTTGGCACTGGAACGCGGGCGGCGGGGCTTTCCAGGGTCACGATTTTGCCTGCCCTGCGACCGCACATCTCGCCGTGCATGGTGCCATAACTCCATAACTCCGGCGCGCCACTCGCTCTGCGCCGCAAAAATTGAAACGCCTTTTGCATCCGAAGACTCGCCAAATGGCAAGCGAAGTCTGCACCTGCGCAGAGAGAAGTGGGCAGCTCACGTGCGCGTGGGTGTGTCGGCATTTCCCCGACCCCACAGGTACCAACTCTGTTTTGTAATTAGGCGTGAGCCGTGGGATCCATATGCTGAACAATCCGTGTGCTTGGCTGTGAAGAGGAAGGGATTGCTTGTCTTGGGACTGAGTAGCCCTGGCCGTGACAGAAGGCGCTAAGGATGGCTAGAGATGGCCTGATTACTCGATGCGAAACCGCGGGAGCGACGTCGGAGGGCTGCGGCTAGCATAGCAGGAAGGAGCTAGATCTGTTCCCTTTGAAGCTGGCCTGGATTGCTAGATATTAGTAGAGAGTTGAACAAGACGTTGTGTAGTTAGTCCTCGACACCCCAATTGAAGCCATGCCGCGATGCTCTCATCCCAGCCTAGTCGGGCTGAATGGAATACCTCAATGGTCAGATGAGCTCCCTCACCTTGACAGACTTTTCACCACAGTCATCGAATTTGGGAAGAGAGAGTGCCAACTCATCGCCTTGGTGACCTCACCTCACTACTCTGTGGTGCTTCTGGCAGGCGCGGGCCAGCAGGTCGGATGCGGCAACTGCGACTCGCTCTATCGATAACAACAGAGGCGCTAGGCAGGTCACGTAATTAGCTCCCTCTGGCATGCAGGTGGATATCGACGTCCAGTATTCGCCAGCGCCAGGACAGTATTACCATCTCTTTCTATTACCCATCGCACGGCCAGAGCAGCTCTCTCGTTTGCTCTGTTTGCTGAGACCCGCCACACTCGCCGCCGCTCCCGGTCCCCGTGTGTTTGCACCTACCGCACTCGCTTGAGCACACGCCTAATGGCGCGTCCTTGATGGCCTCCAGAGGACCTCGTGAAAGGTAAATACCTTCCCACCCGACCCTTGGCTGCTGCAGCACTCTGCACCCCGCGGTTCAACACCACACGCTGCTGCGGTCCTCAACCAAGTCTCACTCTGCTCTGCCCCCACAGAAGTGCTGCACCCACCGGGGCCACAGTCTGCGCGCATCTCGATTTCACAAGCCTGTAGTCAGAATCTCATGTCGTCCAGAGTCACTCGCTCGCAAAGGCGCCAATCCGCCAACACCAACGACACCTCGCCCCCCGCTGCTCCCCCGACCGCAACGCAACCGCCGCCCGCCCCAGCGTCCCGCAAGCGGAAGACGTCAGCGCGCGACCCCAGCCCCGACCCAGCAGACAACCCAGAGTCTACTCCCAAGCGCCGCGCTACCAAGACCAAGAAGGCCAAAGGCAAAGCCGCCATGTCTTCGTCTGGGTCTGTGCCAATTGCCCCAGCCGGCGAGCAAGCGCTGACCGAAGACAGCCCACCATCAGATCCTATCGACGAGAAGTCGACGCCACAGCCCTCGAAGCGATCCAAGAGCGGCCGCAAGACCAAGTCCTCAAACGCCGCGCCCGACGCCGATAGCCCCTCCACGTCCCGCCGAAGCTCGCGCAAATCGAACAAGGCCGAGGACGACACAACCATGGACGATGCTCCCGCAAGCAAGCCCGAAGAGGAAACGCGCCAGTCTGGCGAAGACCATACCAGCGATGACGAGAACGGCGACGATCACGGAGAGCGATACGATGAGGAAGATGACGATGATGACGACGATCCCTTCACCAGCGGCTTCCTGGGACGCAATTCACACAGCCTGTCTGCGCTTAGGCAGCTCACCGGCATGATGGCAGGTACCACACAGCGTCTGCGGGGCATTCTGGACCAGCTGCGATCGCCAGACATGTCTATACAGCTGATTGCGCTGCAAGAGCTGTCCGAAGTGCTCCTCATCTCCACGGAAGACAACCTGGCCGGCCACTTTTCCCCCGATGCCTACGTCAAGGAACTGGTCAAGCTCATGCAGCCGAACGAGTTCACAATGGAAGAGAACCCGGAGCTTATGTTGCTCGCCTGCCGATGCTTGGCCAACCTGATGGAAGCCCTGCCTCAAGCCACCGCCAATGTCGTTTACGGTGGAGCCGTGCCCGTCCTTTGCTCCAAGCTGCTCGAGATCAACTTCATCGATCTGGCCGAACAGTGTCTGAGCACGCTGGAAAAGATTTCAGTTGAGTTTCCGGGAGTTATTGTACGGGAAGGCGGTCTTACAGCGTGCTTGACCTTCCTCGACTTCTTCGCCACAAGCACACAGCGTGTAGCCGTCACAACCGCAGCCAACTGCTGTCGGAACATCCCAGAGGATTCCTTCCCGGTAGTGCGCGATGTTATGCCTATTCTTGAGAATATCCTGAACAACAACGATCAAAAGGTTGTAGAGCAGGGCTGCATCTGTGTCTCTAGGATCGTCCAGAGCTTCCGGCAACAGGAGAGCAAGCTCGAGGAGCTGGTCAGCCCAGGTCTTCTCAAAGCTATCCTGCGACTTCTGCTCCCGGGCAGCACGAATCTTATTGGACCTAGCATCCACACTATGTTCCTGCAGGTTCTGGCGTACACCGCCAAGGCAAGCCCGCGTCTGTCAGCTGAGCTGTTGAAGATGAACGTGGTCGATACTCTGTACCAGATCCTAACCGGTGTTTCGCCTCCTAGTGGCACTGAGGACGTCGCAGCTAAAATTGACTCTGTCGTCATCATGCAAGCCTTGATTCACCGGCCCAAAGATCAGGTGTTCGAGACGTTGAATGTTATCTGCGAACTGCTGCCCGATGTCCCGACCGAGGGCCTGATGTACCTTGACGATCTCTTCGATGCCGGCTACCCAGGCGACGACCTTCTTCCACTCTCTTCCACTAACAAGAAGACCACCAATGAGAAACGCGTCGAGCTGTTGGAAGATTGCAAGGCAGAGGTTAAGCGCTTCGCCGTAATCCTTCTGCCTACTCTGACAGACGCTTACTCAAGTACTGTCAACCTCAGCGTACGCCAGAAAGTGCTTACCGCTCATCTCAAGATGTTGTCAAATCTGGACACCGATATCCTAGAGGAAGCTCTACGGCCGGTACCCTATGCTTCGCATCTAGCATCGATCTTTACGCAGCAGGACCACCCATCTTTGGTCACATACGCGTTACAGGCTGCCGAGCTATTGCTTAAGCGGCTGGAGCCCATCTACCGGTACCAATTCTATCGCGAAGGTGTTATATCCGAGATCTCACAACTGGCGAACCGTCCATGCAAATCGTTGGAGACCAAGCCCAAGGATCCCAAGTCAGCGGTAGAGACAGAGGCTGCAGCTGACTCAGGTGCTAGCACCGTCTCTACTGCCGAACAAGACGCTGAGCGGGAAGCTGCCCAGTCGAGTGACGGTGTCGACGTGGAAATGCAGTCTGACGATGGCGAGGACGTGGATCCTGACGATGAACCAAATGAAAGCAGCCAGAACCGAGACGAGGACGATGAGTCAGACTCTTCATCGTCCTCTGACCAGCGGGAGCCACTACCGATGCCCGACGTCGAAGACATCATCACGCTCCGTGCTAAGAAGTTCATCGACGTTCACGAGAAGGAATCTGATAATTCTATACGCGAAAAGGCGTCTGCGGTCCTGGAGGATTTGAAATCGCTTGCTGGTGAAATTAAGAAGTGCGTTGCTGATGGTGCCACAAGCGACTGTATGAACTTGTTCACTAGACTGGCATCTTACTTTGAAGGCGATGCGTTAGAAAGCATCACGAGCTTCGAGCTCAAGACATCGAAGATTGTGGAGGTGCTCTTGGAGCTGTTCTCGATGTCTACATCTGACAAGAAGGTCGACCCTAGGCCTATCTTCTTGGAAGCCTTCATGGGAGGTAGCGGCCAGAGCAAGATCAAGACCGCGAGCACTGCGTCTCCAGCTACGCCTTTCAGCGTGTTGGTCCATAAGCTGCAAGATCTGCTGAGCAGGTCTGAACACTTCGACGTGATTACTGTTCATCAAAACATGTACGACAGCCGAGGCAGCGCAACTTCCATGCTAGCTAAGCAATTGAGGCTGAAGCTTGTCGCCGATGACGATTCGGGAATTCCTAAGACGTACCGCAATATCATGGTGTCTATTCACGCCATTGCTACATTCAAAGCCCTAGACGACTACCTTCGACCCCGCATCAGCCTGGCAGATAGGCCACGCCCAGCTAAGACTCGCGACCAGTTCCCATCTCGGGATCAATTTGAGGCCATGTATGCTCAAGCTGTTTCGGAAGGACGCGCGCCGCCACCACCCCACACCCCTTCCGATTCGTCACACCGTGCTTCAAAGAAGTCTTCGCGATCCAAGGCAGCTCCGACCGACGCATCCCAGCCAGGACCGAGCTCCGCCACACGAGAGAAGTCTCGTCGATCGAGTCGGCGTCAACAGGCGCAGCTTCCTCCACCCCCGCCACCACCTCCAGCCAAGCCTCACTCGAACAGCAGCCAAGATCAAGTTGAATGTGCTGATGAGGCGCAGCTCTCCGACCAAGATTCCATGGATGACGAGAGCGCCTTGAATGCCATCGTCGATGATCTTGAGGATGAGCTGGATGAGGATATGCCAGATCCATCGGCTGTCAGTGTCGAAGTCGCATCGACAGGGCAAGCCACGGCTCGTGAGGAGGACGGCACGCGGATTGCTACACCCGTACAAAACACACCGCTGGCTAAGCCACCTTCCGAAACCCGAACTCCAACGTCGCGTCTGTCTGCCTTGCTACAGAGCTCGGCTGCCATGCGTCAGACTCTAGGTGGGGCGGGCGCTCTGTCATATGCTGGCGCTGTACAATCGACCCCTCAGGACTGGCATATCGAATTCAGCGTGAACGACCAGCCACTCTCCAATGAGACAACAATCTACCGCGCTGTGCACTTTAGCCAGGCGCAACCAGCGGACGGATCACATCGCTCGGTTTGGAACGGTATTCATACCATCAAGTTCAAGCGGGTGCAGGGCCCTCCACCAAGCGAGCCTAGCTCCTTGACACCACCGCCAGAGTCGCGTTCGGACGTTTCGGGTATGCCGGCCTCACTTGATCAACACCCTGTGACATCTGGTATTTTGCGATTGCTCAGCATACTTCACGGACTCAATTCGCACCTTGACGACATCCTACTGGCAAATAAGGAACAGGTCAAACTGAATGCTGAGCCGCTTTCGCAATTCGTCAACACGAAGCTCACAGCCAAACTCAACCGTCAGTTAGAAGAGCCTCTCATTGTAGCTAGCAACTGCCTTCCTAGTTGGAGCGAGGATCTGGCTCGGTTCTATCCATTCCTTTTCCCGTTCGAGACACGCCACCTCTTCCTACAGTCTACCTCGTTCGGCTACTCTAGGTCGATGACGCGATGGCAGAACTCGCAGCCCACAAGTGACTCACGGGATAGCCGTCATAGGGATGAGCGGCCGTTCCTAGGTAGACTTCAACGCCAGAAGGTTCGCATTTCTAGGTCCCGAATCTTGGAGTCCGCCATGAAAGTCATGCAACTGTACGGACATTCGGCTAGTGTCCTGGAGGTCGAGTACTTTGAGGAAGTTGGAACTGGTTTGGGACCGACGCTGGAATTCTACTCCACCGTATCCCGCGAGTTCTCCAAGAAGAAGCTGAAGCTTTGGCGAGAGAATGAGTCCAGCGATCAGGACGAATATGCTTTCGGCAAGCGAGGACTCTACCCCGCTCCCATGAGCACCGAAGAAGCAAGCACTGAGAATGGCGAGAAGCGTCTCGAGCTGTTCAAGATTCTGGGCAAGTTCGTCGCTCGCTCCATGCTGGACTCTCGCATCATCGACGTGTCCTTCAACCCGACATTCTTCCGCATCAGCGACGGTTCCAGCGCAGCAGTGGCACCATCTCTTGGAGCGATCAAAGCGGTCGATGAAGACTTGGCCAAGTCTCTGGTTCTGCTCAAGCAATTTGCCGATGCAAAGAAGAAGGTTGACAATGACAATCTGAGCGCAGCCGCAAAAGCGGCGGCTCTGAACGACATTGTCATCCAAGATTGCCGGGTCGAAGACCTAGCTCTCGACTTTACACTTCCTGGTTATGGTACCATCGAGCTTATTCCGAACGGTGCGGATACCTCTGTCACTATCGAGAACGTCGACACGTATGTAGAGAAGGTCATCGACTTCACCCTTGGCTCTGGTGTCCAGCGCCAGGCAGATGCCTTCCGTGCCGGCTTCACAGAGGTCTTCCCATACTCTGCTCTCAAGGCATTCACCCCAGATGAGTTGGTCATGTTATTCGGTCGGACCGATGAGGATTGGTCGCTTGAGAGTAAGTTTAAAACATCCACCACTTCAGTACCGTTACTAACCACGTCACAGCTCTTATGGATTCCATCAAAGCAGACCACGGCTACAACCTCGACAGCAAGAGCGTACGCAACTTGCTTGCCACCATGAGCGAGTTCGATGCGCAGGAGCGTAGGGACTTCTTGCAGTTCATCACCGGCAGCCCCAAGCTACCAATTGGAGGTGAGTCTTATCGTCCACTGTACATCAAGCCCTGTTTACTAACACATCTCCAGGCTTCAAGGCTCTCACACCAATGTTCACGGTCGTTTGCAAACCCAGCGAGCCGCCCTACTCATCCGACGACTACCTCCCTTCCGTCATGACCTGTGTCAACTACCTCAAGATGCCCGACTACAGCACCGTCGACATTTTGCGGGAGAAGCTCAGCGTAGCCATCCGCGAAGGTCAAGGCGCCTTCCATCTTTCCTAGATTGTTCACCCAGGGGTGCAGTGATGATGATTGAGTGAGGGGAGGACTGGCAGGACAGAATATGGATACCCAGGGCTCTGTTTCCTTGTTGGGAGGCGTCACACGCGTTCTCTCACTCTCTATACGTGCTATAGATTCAACGCCTTTATTTAACGACACTATTTGTGTGGGCTTAGTATGCATTGCAAAGGTTCGGCTTCTGGGAAGCGGCGTTCTGAGTAAGGGACCTAGTAGTTAGTTTGCGCAATCCGATATCTTTTAGAATCGCACGAGGATCTTTCTGGGTGCCTGTGATGTGTCTTGGTACTGGTAACAAAGTCTTCCAACTATCCTCTATTTACTATTTGCTGTGATGTCTTGCACTTCGAAGGCAGCAGAATGCGTAGAGTAAAATGGAAGGCAATGGTTCTAGATGTTGACTGCTCACCCTCTTAATCAACATTGATAAACTAAAACGATGAGTAAAGCTTGCCATCAAAGCATCCGCTAACAAACACAGTTCGCGTGAAATAAAATTTTATTATCCGATAAATGATCGTGAGTCTCCAAGTCCCAATCCCAGTCGTGTCAACATCTAAATCCAAATCCAATCTCGTCCCTATCATTACACATCCATTCCAGGCTTTCCATACTGACAGCCCATCTACTCATTCATGCATTCCTACACTATCACCATCGGGCATGTGCCAGGTAGTCGCTGAAGCGATCTAGTCCTCCTCCTGAGAGTCAGCGAGAGCAGAGTCGGCGCTACCAGACGAGGCGCCCTTGCCACCTGAGGCCTTTCCGTTACCAGATGTAGATGCGGCGGAGGCGCCGTTGGAAGCGCTGTTTGCACCTGTGCCCTTGGTGCCAGATGTGCTAGTAGATCCAGACGCACCGGTAGAAGCACCGGTAGAGCTGGAAGAACCAGTAGCACCAGTAGCGCCAGTAAGAGCGCCAGAGGCACCGTTTCCAGTGGCTGCGCCAGCACCAGTAGCTGAACCGGCTGAGCCTGCGGCACCGGCACCAGTAGCACCGGTTCCTGTAAGGCCAGCTCCTGCGGCTCCACCAGCAGTGGGGCTGTTTCCACCGGCAAGAGGACCGTTGGCACCAGCAGCGGGAGCGGCGCCACCGGCAGTGGGAGGGGTGGGAGGAGTAGCTCCGATGCCTGCGCCACCAGCGGTAGGGGAAGTAGGAGGAGTTGCTCCAGTGCCCGCGCCGCCGGCAGTGGGAGGAGTAGGGGGAGTGGCTCCGTTGGCAGGGGGAGCAGGGGGAGTGGCTCCATTAGCAAGGGGAGCAGGGGGAGCGGCAATGCCACCAGAAGTGAGAGGAGCAGGAGGAGTAGCTCCGTTAGGACCGGGGGCGGCACCACCTGCAGTGGGAGGAGTAGGAGGAGTAGCTCCAGCTGCTCCAGTACCCGCGCCACCAGCGGTAGGAGGAGTTGGGGGAGTGGCGGCTCCGGCACCTTGTTGACCACGGCCTGCGCCTGATATATGTCAGTGTCTATAACTGTAACTCTGGTGCTTGATATCACTTACCGGCTCCCTGTTGACCGTTGGCAGCTCCATTGCCTTGTCCCCTGCCAGCTCCGGCACCAGTTGCTCCAGTACCAGTAGCGCCGTTGGCAGTGGCTCCAGCACCAGCTGCTCCATTACCAGCTCCTTTGCCAGCGCCAGTACCAGTCGCTCCAGTACCGATAGCTCCAGTTCCAGTGGCTCCGTTGGCAGTAGCTCCAGTGCCAGTGGCACCGTTAGCATTTGCTCCGGCACCAGCAGCTCCGTTCAAGTTGCCAGCTCCCTTGCCAGCCTTGCCAGTACCAGCGGCGGTAGCGCCTCCTGCCGCAGCAGTGCCGTTGTTTGCAGCGCCCTGGATTAAGTCAGCTTCGGAAATGCAGTCCAAGACGAGAGAGTACTTACGGTAAGAGTACCAGCACCAGCAGCACCAGCAGCTCCGGCACCCTTCTGGCCCTTCGCAGCGCCGGCGGCAGCACTAGTCGCAGGTGCCTTGGGAGTAGTAGCAGCAGCACCACCAGCCTTGCCGCCAGCCGCTCCACCGCCAATACCGAGACCACTGAGAAGGTCGCCGATACCACCAGCACCGCCAGCAGCACCCGCCGCACCCTTTGCGCCGCCTGCGCCGCCAGCACCTCCAGTCAAACCAGCGAGGAGCTGATCAAGTTGACGCTTGGCGAGACCAGGGAAAAGGGCAGCGAGACCTCCAGCACCTCCTGCGCCACCGGCACCACCGGCACCACCTCCTAGAGCACCAAGTCCACCAAGGGCACCGAGACCGCCGGCTCCAGCTCCAGCTCCTGCGCCACCAGCTCCAGCACCGGTAAGAGCGCCGAGACCTCCAGCACCACCAGCCAGAGCACTCAGGCCTCCAGCACCACCGGCACCACCCCCTAGAGCACCGAGTCCACCGAGGGCACCAAGGCCTCCTGCACCAGCACCAGCACCTGCCGCTCCGCCGCCAAGGCCACCGAGGAGCGCGTCAAGTGTACGCTTGTTCTTGACCTTCTCGGAAGAGAGCTTCCGGACGGTAGCGACGTAGTGTGCAGGCATCCTCTGGCCACCAGTAGTGTCAACCCATCGCTTAGCCATAGCAGTGTGATCGCAAGGCTCCTGGGCCGGAGCCGCAACAGCGGTCGCCGCCAAGGAGGCGATAAGGATGGAGGAGTCGAACTTCATATTGGCGGATAGAAAGGATGGAAGGGAGGATTAAAGATCAGCTGCCCGGCAGTGATGTAAGTAGAGAACGTGCAAAGATAAAAGCCGACTAGCAGCGATATATACAAGGAAGAATGATTGAATAGAAGTAGAGAAGAAGACTGAGTAAGCTGGATGAGTATCGAACTGATGAATAGTAATACTGCATGGAAAGACCTTCTCTATATATCATGCCCTCCATGGGGAACGGCCCGATGGGGTGGAGCATGTCCCGTATCAAACGGTGCATGCGTTCTAGCCTTTTCTTCGAACGTTTTGTCGATCGTCATGGTAGCTACGCTGTAGCATAGCGTGAGCGAAGACGCACATGCCTTTAGGCTGTTGTGCTGTTGCGCGGGCACGTGTCGTTTGGTACTGCAACGGGCGGAGGCGAAACACTGGTCGTGTAGCTGGTTCCGCATGCTATACGCAAAACATAATTGCTTGTTCGGTAGACGACTCGTAGCTTAAGCACGAAGTGTACCTTGGCGTCGCGTGAAATCGCCGGGGAAGCGCTTGACCTTGTAAATTCCTAATTCAAATCATATCACGATGCCTTCCTCGCGCTGTCAGTGAGCCGTGATAGACGTGACAGCATATGATATCCCGATTTCTATTCTTCGTCAATCGTCGACGCGTCTTTCGAGTGATGGTGTTGCTGGTTCCGTCGCAGCACCCGTGAAACGACAGCTTGGCGCGTTAAGTGTCGGCTAAGTACGCGTGTTTTGGTTTCGAAACTAAGGCAGATCGTGGGTGTAGCCTTACGACTGGAACAGTGGATGTACGAGAGCGCCTTTGACAGGTCCCGAAGGTTTCGTGAGCGACCTGGATTGAGGGTGAGTGATTAAGACGGGGGCAATGGATGGTGGGTGGAGTCCAAAGAAGCTTAAAACCTTAGCGCGCCGCTAGCCTTGGCTTTGAAAGACGGAAAGAGCGAACACTCAGGATGTCTTGAATCCGTGTTTGATGATATCCAATCGCATCTCTTCTCTGTCATACGTTCCACAATGGCACTGTCGCTGAACATGCTCCAACATCCCGTGCGCCATACATCCCTGATATACACCAAGATCTTGCCTAAACATCGAAGCTCACTATCTCCTCCTTGCCAGTCCTGTGACATACAGCTCTCCAGGCTCTGCTTCTACTTTCCATCCTTCGTTGACCAACGCCTTCAAGACTGCAGGTCCTAGCTTTCCCCTTCCGCCCTCGCTGTGTCGGCCCAAACCTGTGATGATCCTGTATGCCTCGCCACCACCTCTGCGACCAGCACCGCTCCACTCGGGTATTCTGCGCTCGCCCAGACCGTTCCACCAAGCTTGTGTTCGTTGTTTGGCGATTCTCGTTGCGTCGGCCACAGTAACGCCATGGAGATCGAGGTATGTTGGACCAGATTGTGTGGAAACGAATGCGTCGGCTTCGGCTGCGTTCATCGCTCTCAGATTGGCGTTGAGGTCGCGGCCTTCTTGTGCATAGTACGCGGCTGCTTGCCTCATGAGTGGCGTCGACTTGCCCTTGCGGTAGGCACCCGATGCTTTCCCGAATGCGTCGTTTCGTGCAGCAGCTGTGGACATCGCGTCGCGTGGTCGAACAGAAGGCGTCAAAGTTGGGAGTGTCGTGGCTTCAGAAGGATCGGATAGATCGACAGGAGCATATCGTAAGTCAAGCTTGATACCACCCCTCCCACCTGTCTCGCTAGCAGGTTGTTGGGTGAGTGATTTTGCCAACTCCTGGGCTTTGATCGTCGAAGGAGCAGTAAGTCGCACTATGGCAAGGGCGTGCTCCAGATCCATAGATGGAAAGCTCTCATTCAGTGTGATCGCATCCTGTACCAGTGCGGCATCTGGTTCACCCTCTTTCTTGTGTGCTGCAATATCCTTCTTTACAATGGCCAGCACAGTCGCCGAAACGGACGTGCCGTTCGCGTGGTAAAGCGACGACACCGTCTTCGCTGGAAGGCCTGTACGCGACGTTATAAAGTCTACATCTCGACTCGTGTTTTGCCAGCGATTGGTTGGCGCATCCGATTCGACGAGGTAGCTAGTACCCGCCTCCAAGGAAAGTCTCTGCTTCTTCTTGCTCTTAGCTTTTTTGCCCTTTTGCGGTACGAGATGGTCTTCTGAGAATGCATCAATACCCTTCGCGACTGGCCCTTCTCCAGTAGGGCTTTTCCTACTGTCATCGAAGAAGACTTGGTTCAACAGTTCATCCGTCGCTTTATCATAATCGTATCCACACTTCTTCAGCGTGTACGTGACTTGCGCGAGCCGCAGACCTGGGAAAGTTTCGGCAAGCAACAGCTCTTTTGTGGAGACGTCCGACTGCTCAATGTCCTTGTAGTACCCATCCTCCAGGGACCCTTCTGAGCCCCCCGACCGTCCGTTGACACTGAATGTAGAGAACTCGTTCGAGAGCGTCGAGTGGTCCGTCGCTACCGTTTGCGTCGTCCACGAATCAGCATTGGAGTCGACATCGGTACTGTGTTTGTCTGGGCTGCCTTGAACTGCGCCTCCGCTGCTGCCAGAGGGGTCAAAATCGAGGGCTTCGGCGTCGGCCGTCAACTTCAGGGGTTCGAGTAGTTGCCTAGTAAGATCGATTGCGTTCGGTTCTCCTGCGAAATCCGAGTATATCGTGTAAAGAAGAGTGGGGTCTATCGTGGGGCAGTATTCCTGCTGCAAGTCGCATTCCCGTTAGCGACGTCGCACAATTGTCTACTCTCGCGTCGTTGCATACCTCGAGGAGACGGAGGTCTTCATCCATTTTGATTCTTGTAGTATTGACGTCTTCGTATGTGTCTATGCGGCGAGTGCATACTCAGACTGTCTGTCGAGACTGTTGGAGTGTGTCGCACGATTATCTCCTCTTAGAGACGTGCGCGTTTGAGATGACACGGCGTGGTGTGGTAGGATGATTGTACGATAGGCGGGCGCACAGGCAGAAGTGCGTGGGGTGTTGTGGCAGAGTCGGCGCGTAGTCGCGAAAACCATGGGTCGAGGGGAGACACAGCCGAGCTTGGCGATCAAGACACACCTCACCCTTGCTGCAGCATAGCGAATCTCGTTCGACAGAAGAGATTCAGAGTTTGCGACGTTCGATTCCTAAGCTCACTGAATTCTTCGCGCTGGTTAGATGTCACACGTCATCTCGTCCCGGATCCAACTGCGCGTCATCAACCGACTTAATCGACGCTAATGCAAGCGCCGCGAGGCTCAAGCGCGGGAGCCCTACCAAGCTCTCGACAACCTCAAGATCCGATAGATAAGCATCAAGCTGGACATTCTCTTTCGTCTTCTCTGAGCGTTTTCGGAGAGTGGTTTAGAGGGCCATCAGGAGGAGGCGGTGTTCGGCTTGAACAACGTCATACATGCTACACAGGAACAATGACTGGCTCTACAGCAGGACACCTTTCAGTGCTATCACCAAGTGTAAGACCTCATTCGATCTACCGTCTTCTCGTATCCCTTCAATATCAAGCCCCGTCCTTCTGGATAGAGATATGCCGTAACTGCCGGTCTCGGAGAATTTGACTTGGCAGCACCGAGTGATCAGCCTCGCGTACCCGTTCTGGCCCCCAACAGCGCTGCGCCGCCATCACGTCCATGGCGGTGCACGAGATTTGTGCCCAGGCGTGCATGAGTTTCAGGCGACCTGTTGCATCCTTGCTATGAGTTTAAGTACACCCAAGGCCTCCCGGGCGTAATGACAGCTCGCGAGTTTGATCCCCTCGCGTCTCTCATACTCGAAAACCGCATCTCCAATCCCGAATAACAATCAGACAACATGGCGCCCATCCAACGTCGCAACACCAATCTTTCGCTGCAAGGCACTGTAGCGGTCATAATTCTTGTCATTATGTTTGTTACAGGCATCTTTTGCACAGTCGTTTTTATGAAGATCTGTAGTAAACAGCGGAGGCGCGAAAGGGCTATGCGCAGGATGCAGGAACAAAACGCGCCCTACGTCGGGGTTCAGTATACTGCACCACCGGACGCCCCAAGCAACGGAAGCGTGCTACCACCGTATGCAGGACAAGCGCATGTACCGACGGAGCTGCATGGAGACCAGTACAAACACAATGGGCCGCAGGAGTTGCAAGGAGAAGGGAGACCTGAGTCTGCTCAACCGCAGCAGATTGACGGGTACATGGCAGCAGTGAGTGCCATTATTGAAGCGAAGCATCGCGTTGGGGATAGAGAAGCTGATTTCCCATAGCCAACCGTTGACAATAGCGATCCTATCGAACTACCCGCGAACGCGATCGTGAATAATCACGGAAACAATGGAGCTGGAGGTTTTGCGATGGAAGAACCGCAACAAGAAAAAAAGACAGCGTTTGCGCGCATGCAAGCATTGTTCAAATGAAGACGTCAGGAGACCTTATAACGTAATAACGACCACCGGAATGATTCAAGGGCAAACGACAGATTCCAGGCAGCTATAACGACAGAGCTATCCACATGGGCTTGACGAGCGAATATTCTCTCCATAATAGGAGTAACAATGGGGAGACTACAACTCTGTCTCGCTTTCGCAGTGAGCGAGTCCGTCACCACGGCTTTGCGATTCGCGTATCCCTAGTCTTAATACACACCATCAAGGCTCCTTCACTGCGACTTCTTGATTAGCGCCTTGCCAGTCTATATATATATATCGTCCACGACTACTGTACCTCGATCAATCCTACACCCCCGCTTGACAATCGATACAAGCTATCTTGATAACAATTAAGCTCGTATCAATCAATTGTACTACCCAAGACACATCAACACCTCAAGGACCGTCACCATGGACCTCATCGACGCCAGCAACGCCCCTGTACCCATCACCGTAGACCCCATCACTGGCAACACCATATCCGCCAACGAGACCGAAAACGCGATGGAGGACACTCAGATGGCCGACCCCGAAGACCACACCAACGCGGCTGATGACGAAGCCGAGGATGAAGCCGAGGACTACTTCATCGACAACAGCCCCACATTCCACGACTTCACCACCCTCCCTCCAGACACCAAGGCCACAATCACCCGCCTCCTGGCGTCTGCAGGTGCCGCTTGGGAATTCCGCTCCATGGCTACCCCGTTCCCAGTCCAGTACCTCCCCGATCCAGACTGCCATAACTGGGGTCTAGCACTCATTTCTGCGCTCAGCCGTCTGGCGGATATGACACGCACTGGTTTCAAGTTGGAGGCGATTGCGTTTGTCATCAAGCACATGAAAGAGCGGAATGATGTTCCTGGTAATACTGAGGATGAGAGTAAGATGTCTTCGAATTGCGAAGAGGATTGGTGCTAACAGTGCGCTTGAAGATATTGCTGCTTCGGTGGTTATGGCTGGCGATTTCGTGATTCGGCTTGAGGACGTCAACTACAGCATCCGCAAGATGCGGAACAGGGTCAACAGCTACCGGCCTGCTCCACAAGGTCAGGGTCAGGGCTATGGCCATGGACGTGGGCGTGGCGGCTACCGCGGTGGCCGAGGTCGCGGTCGAGGACGTAGTGGTGGAGCGAGGGGACGAGGAGGTATGATGGGCTTCCACGGTTGAAGTGTTGTTGAGTGATCGACATCACCTGGCTGTTATGATGGGGTGTGGAGGAACGTGACATAGATAGTCCGGGTGTACTTCACAGCCTTACTGAATGTACGTGGATATTTGAAGATACATTGAATACCTCCACGCCTTGCTATGATGCGGAACTCTGTGATTTCCGGAGACGTGTTGAAGACTACACATGTACTACCCCAAACCCAAATCTACTCATGCTATACTCACCGTACGCGACGACTCGCAAACGCCTCACAATGATAAACAGCACAACTACCGCGCTCGCGCGCATAGCATCTCTACCAGTAACCCTACTCGGCTCTCTCCCTAGGCCAAACATCTCCTACATCCCCGCCGCACATGTCAAGCTCAAAGCGGAACATATCGTAATGGTGTTTATTTGTGTAATGCGACAGATTTGGCTGTACGTAGAGGGCTGGAGAGATAGCAGGAGGCGAAGAAACAGGGTTGATGAGGACAACGCAGAAGACAAGAGACAAACCAAGAGGCGCTCGAAGAAAAGGGGAGCGCTTGGAAAGGCGGGTAGGAATGTGGGTAATGGCCGGAAAGTGAAGATCGTTATGAAAGGGAGGTACACGCTGGAATTGCAGTAATGGACTGGTATAATATGGCGCATGAAGCCAAGTCTATATGCATTTCCAAGCTCTAAGACGGCGCCAGTGTAGTCTAAACAGGTTCGCAACACGTCATGTAAGCTCCGCTAGATGAGCAAGTGTTGCTCTTCACATAAAACGACGAGGACCTGAAATGCTCTCATCGTTATCTGACTCGATGTCCTTGTTCACCCTAAAGCCTGCCTCGTCTTCTGATTCGCTCTCCGATTCGCTTTCCGATATCTGGGTCCTGGCATCTGGTTTTGCCCAGAATTTGCCTTGCGATCCGCTTTCCGATTCATTTTCTGATTCAGTATCCTCATCCATAGCCCCAATAATATCCAACTGTAGCCCCGCAGTCTTACACGCGTTCTTGATTTCCCTCGATACTCCGTCTTCGCCTTCAACCACAACCAAAGTTTTCCAATTCCTAGCAACGATATCCTTCTGCTCGATGGTAGCCAAGAGAAGGTCTGTGACCTCAGCGTCGCTTCCTAGTTCGTTGAAGAACTCGAGTGTGTCCATAACCGGCGGGAGACCAACGGAATGAAGACGCGGTTTCTTAGACGACTTTCCAAATAGCTGGTAATCCCAGTTCAGGCGCAATGTCTTGAGCGCTGCGAACTCGCGCATACGTAGCACCTTGCGCCCGGTAAGTGTTGGGTGATCGATCGTTATGCTCTTCAAAAACTCCGCTTGCGACTGAGCAGCCAGGATATAGTCCCCAACGTTATCAGAGCTTTCTTCCAGTTCGGGCTCCGGCTCTTCTGTTTGCGTCATGACAAACTCCTCCAGCGCCTCGGGCAATTCGAGGAGATCCCCAAGTGAGTCGTCGTTAATATCGCATTCGATCAAGTGAAGTTGTTTGAGCGCTGTCATGTGCGGCCGCTCGATGTGATCGAAGCCCTTCTCGTCTAGCTTAGCTCTGCGGATCGTCAAGGTTTCCAGCGTGGGATGGGCGAAGATATGTATGTTCTCGCGGAGGTCCCAGTAAGCATCATTAGCGCATTGGTAGAATAGTGAGCAGGACTTCAAGCATGCGAGATCGAAGGGTCCATTGAACAAGGTACCGATGCCGTGTAGGAGCACGTCGGGAACGGAAATATCGAGCTTCTCCAAATTCGACATGATCGATAGCGTCCGTGACAGGCTATCTGAGCGCTTGGGATCCAGGTATGAACCGGCGACAGGTGCGTCGAGCGCCAGTTGCGACAGCTCTGAGGACGGATAGGCCAGCTTGATTTCATGGATGGCTGAGCCACGGCGCGGCCGACGACTCAATGACTCGCTGAATGTGAGGTGCAGCTCTGGAGTTTCGAACAGAATGCTCTTATATAAGACGGCGTCACTGAGGCGGTGGCATCGTTTGTTGACGCGCGATACGTTGCAGAGGTCGCGTCTGGAGAGGCAACCCACCGCCTCGAAGATGTGGAGCAGCAGCTCATCTGGCAGCGCACTCAGTCTGTCGCGTAGAACGACATCGGTGTTACTGTCTTTCTCCAGCGGCATATCTGATACTAGTGTATCGATGCGAGAGAGAGGAGACGAGGTATCCATGCGCGAGGTACTTCGCAACCTTTGCTGCGAACACGTGGAGTTGGCCTGACTCGCTGCAGGTGGAATGCGGGGAAGCTTGTGGAGAGCCGCCGATCTTCAATCAAGGTACAATAGAACGATATAGAGGAAATGCTGCATAAGAGTAAAGTGTCAAAGTCTTTGTCGTAGACATTAGAAGACAATGTTGGAACACGCAAGTCTGAGAATGAAGGTACAGTGGTGATACGTCCAGTGACGGGGCAGGAACAGCGAGGCGCGCACGGCCCGCCACGTGCGGCCGGTCCCATGACATCACCCAAAAAACCTCATCCCTCATCTGACGCTTGCATTCCCACAAATGACATCTCCAAACGACTTGTATCGGCTTTCGGTTATATGCTGGCACGGGTCTACTGATGGAGCATGCATCTCCATTTTACACTGCCCAAACATATATCGAACCAGTAGTAGCAATTTTAGGCTAGGGGTGGACAGCCCCCGGCAGGTGGACAGCCCCCGGCAGGTGGACAGCCCCCGGCAGGTGGCGCACGACTGCATCGTGAACCTAGGCTCACAAGCAGACTTCGCGACTGATGCTAAGCATTTGAACGCCACGGGTGAAACATAACTTAGGTCTTTAGAATGATACTTGAGTATGACATGGGACTCAGTCATTTCGACTCCGGCAGTGGTGCTCATCATGCTGCGTATTCGTTCGTCTGCGCCGCTCAGTTGATAATAATTAAGATTTGCATCGATCAGACATATGAGAAAAGACTTATGCGTTCTATAAGGGGTCGTCTGTGCTAATACACATATGTTTCCGACAAAAGAGCTTGCGTTAGCACTGTTGGATGGAAAACACGCTGAACAAGTAAGTGTCAATGTATTGGGTTAAGGTCCTTGGCCACAGGCGCGAAAACATTACAAGAAACCTTAAGGGCTTGGAATTGTCGATTGCTGCCACCGCTTTGCTTTCCGATCCTATATGACTTCTCTCAAGATGGTGATTTGAGTTGCTGAAGTCTTGACTGGCTCGCCTCTCGCCCTGTAGCATGGTGGTACCGGTGAATGCCGACCATAGAATGACTTATGAGAGCTACGTTTTAAGTACACAATTATCAGACATCTGGTTGGTCTCTTATTCGTACTGTAGTCATATATGTGCATAACCAAAGTTGAAAAATTCTCGCTACCACCATCTTATCAGATTCTTAAATTTAGAGTCCACACTCAGTTGTGCAACACTTCGACACACCACACCTGCCAACTCTCCTTTCGTGCCAACATCTAGACACACTCTTCAGCCTACTCAGCAGGCTGTAGTCCGCTCTTCACTATTCCGGTCGAAACCATCCCCCTTCTTCTACGTCACAGTACCCAGGCAGCCTCCCTGCATCACATTCACCCTTGGCAGTGTGCTAGACTATCGTGATACAGCACGAGCCTATTCCCAGCACTAAGCCTGTATAAATACGTGGGAAATCTACCGAAGAGAAACGAATCACCGTTGAGGAAAAGTCTCAACTTTCAGAGAAGTTCATTAGCGAGACTGAGCAGTCGACCACCCCTTTTCCCTACCAGATCATACCTGTAAGTCTTTGAAGCCCGGTTTGATAAACAAGACTGACTGACATTACTAGCTCTTGAGATCGACAAAGATGTCCGACTCAAGCTATTCCCGCTCCCCCAGCCGCGATTCCAACGACTCCTCCTCCCCTCCGCCCCTCTCCCCAAACGCGCAGCTCGAGCTCGCTCTCGTCACCAAGTCCAGCCGCGCAGTCCTCTCGCACTGCCTCGGCCTCTCAAGCCTCGACGGCGTGCCACCCTCCGCCAAGAACATGATCGTCGTCAACTTCGACACCGAGAACTGGGAGTGCAAGCAGAGCGCGCTGACCGAGATCGGCGTGTCCACGTTCGACTCGCGGGATATGCGCGCGCTGGCAGCTCCGGGTATGCATGGTGAGGACCTGCTGAAGCAGGTGTACTTCTACCATGCGCGTATTCTCGAAAATGCGCACTTGTTGAACTTGAAGTGGTGTCCTGGAGATCCTGAAGCGTAAGTACCATCTCTTTCTTCCTATTGCAAAGGACGTCGGCTAACTGTATGACAGCAACCGCTTCGGCACTACCCGTTTCCTCACCAAGTCCGAGGCCAAGGAAATGCTCACGGCGATGTTCCAATGGCCTGTCGACGACACCGATGCTTCGAAGGGCTTCTGTCCTGTCGTGGTCATGGGCCATGCTCTTTCTGGCGACATGTCCATGTTGAACTCCACGCTGGGTTTCAACGCCATGGCTCTAGGTACTGTCGTCAAGGTCATCGACACCCAGTACCTGGCCAAAGAGTGTAAATACGATTCCTGGGGCGGCAATAAGATTGGGCTTAGTACTCTCGTTGGCATGTGCGGCTTCTCTTATCGAGATGCTCATACTGCCGGCAACGACGCCGCTATGACGCTCATTGCTGCTGTCCAGATGGTGCTTCCCTCTGAATTCAAGACCGAAGACGGCGGCCATCTACAAGAGGTTGTCGATACTATTGAGTTACTTAGTCGGCAGCAAGTGTGGGGCTGGGGCAGTGACCTCTTTTGTCTCCGCTGTGGCAAGTATGGCCATACCAAGAGGAATTATCAAGGCAAGCTTTGCTACGCAAAGGTCAAGTGTGACCACTGCGCCTCTTCCCAGTCAGACAAGCGCAAACAGGCCAAGGGTACTCACATGACTGAGCGTTGCATCTCGTATGCTATGAAAGGTCCTGAGGTCTCCTCGATCGAGAAAGTCGCCAATGCGGTGGCTGCGCTTGATCTTGCAGAGTTTTAAGAGGTGGTAGTAGTGTGTCAGACTGAG